CCTTCTAGCTCAGGGCATTGGTTCTTGGTTAGGTTTTAAAACAACTTTTATTAACCTTACGCACACGTTGGAGACGTCAAGGCATTTGCCCATGATAGCTCGACACATAAGACACGCTCAGTGTGGGCTTTAAACATGACTCTTGTCATAAGTTAAAACAATCGGTATCTCATAGCTCTATATTATATGGTCGGCAAATCGGGACTCGCATGCGGCTCTTTAGCGACCTGTGTGGCTCGGACAGAAATCGGTTTGACTACGAAAAACATGGTTCTTGACAAGAAATTTGGCTTAATCTTTTAATCGACCTGCTGCTTTTTTTTTTTTTTTTTGTGGCTCTTTTGACTAATGAGTTTGCCGACCACTGTTCTTGGCCATAGTCTCGTTTCAGGGCCACTAAAATCTTCAAAGCTGCCCCAGACATCAAACATAAAAGCTTTTTTCAAGTTGTTACATTTTCATTTCTGTAAACATCGAAATACAATATAAAAGTGCTCACATAGTCACATAGGCCTATATGAACCTTTTTTCCTTTCTAATCGTCTTTCGTGGAAACATTATATTGGGACAAACTCCACTTTTCCCTAGATGCCATCCCTTGATCGAGTTGTTACGACTACTCCATTCCATCAAATATTATAAAAATACTGTCTCACTTAGAATACACCTTGTTTGCATATTATAGTGAATGATTTAATTTTTGTTGCAGGAAGATATAGGAATTCTAAAACATACACTAATATGATCAGGGTATCATATTTTTTTCTGAGACATATGGGAGTCAAGCTCTATTCATTGTGCTTCTCATTTTTTTTTTTAAATGCGAGGCCTCTCTCGCGAAAACATTTTAAATCAAGGGCAATGTGAACCACTCATTGAACTCTTAAATAATCCTTCCATCCACGAATAAAAATGTACAAAATCATGTGTACTTATACATGAGACCCCTACCTAAGATTATGGACATCCACTTTAGGGAGACAAAAACGGGGTTATAAGGAATAGGAAATGAGTAAAAGAAAGTAAGGTCAAACCTGAACGAAAAGGAACACAACAATACAACGAACGTGTCTGTCGGCAGGAAGCCTTTGTCATCAAACAAACAGCAGAGAAAACAGAATAAAAATTAAAAATAAGCACTTAGCTGAGAAGTAGTATCCGAGAGATATAATGAATACCACTACTAAGTGATGGGATGGACAATGGACTAATGGACAGTTAGTAGCCTACTCGGTTCCATGTAAAATACAGAGAACTACAGATGGGTTATCTTTTAAGCATTTTAAAAATCTCAAAGAATAAATATATTGTTACAATTATATAGCCTAACTAAATGTTCTTTTGATGATTTAAGCAGATGAATAGTAATCGAATAAGCTTACAAGGAAAAAGCAATAAAATAAAACGTGAAAGGTCTATTTTGCGGAACTATTACGAATCACACTATTAATTGCATAGTTATAGCTGACAAAATATTTCTTAACTAATTAATAACTAAAATACTAATAACATGTTTTAATTCTTCCTACGTTTCAATTCAACCTTACACTTACAGTTACAGTATATTCATGTGCCTTGATTTTAAGCCTTTAATAATGCTAGTATTTGTTAGTTAGGCATAATATAGGCCCTTTCAGATATTATAATAATAGAAATAAGCTAATCAATATTAATGTATTTCTTTGAATATTATTATTTATTGACAATTTTCACAATTAAGCATGCTTGGGCACGCCTGAAAATACTTAACCACTGACAAGCACATACAGTTTATTAAAACAATAATTTATAATAAATAGGTTAATTAACATGAAGGTAAACAAAATAAATAGCTTACCTCTAAGACAGACATTGTTTAACCGTTTGTATTGAAATGTGGATTCATTTGTTTACCTAGGTGACATACGGACAGTCAAACGTAGGCGGGTCCAACACAACTTTTTTTCAGGTTTGTTTTTTTAAGTCACTGAAGCTGATCGAATCGATATCATTATTATTCAAGTCAGATTCAACATATTGTGATGTTAAGATTAAGCAATGAAATATATTGAAATCCTCTTAATATTAGAAAATGTTTTATATCTTGTTAATATATCGTGTTTGTTTCTAATTTTTTGGTAAACAATAATTGTGCAGCAAACAGAAAGAAATTACAGACCAAGAACCTAGGGATCGTGTTAACTCATGTTCCGAATACTCTGTTGCTTCATTGTTTATTATGACATGCGCAACAAGGTTCGTAACAGATACTTCCACTTCCGTTAATGGTTTGTTGTTATTCTTTTTTTTTTCCATGTTCGCTTGCTAAATTTGATATTTCTTGAAACTTGGTTATCCTACCAAAATTAAATGTTCATAAAGTGGTAGATATTTGTTGTTAAGAAACACTATACAAGCATGTATGGTTTTAAAATATACACTTTAGTCGATGGCAAAGTCCTATCAAATTCAATGGGTAGTAAAAAAAAGTATATTACTAGTTTAAATTAAAAATGACAGTTCAGTAGCCTCAGTCAGCAGTAGGACTAGAGTTTATACTATTTACTATGACTATACTATAGTATAATATATAACCTTAATTTGCCTGAAATACTTAACTATGTAAAAATACAAGGTACAGTTAAAACATATATTCATAGTCATAACACCTCTACTAATTATTGTAATAATACAACTCAACAAGTCAAACAATTATTTAAAATTTAATTTTAGTTCACATAAATTAGACCTTTTAACTACCATAAATCTAATTCTAAATTGGACATTGACTCACAGTCTCTTTACTCTTCAGTCATTAGTCCTAGCACCACTTGGCAGTAAATTTACACCTTTCCATTCTTTGCTTTCACTTTAAATTTGTTTTATCCAGCCCTGTGGCTGTGGCGTTACAGCCCATGTAGGGCTTTTTCCTGCCTCACCACTTCCTTCCACTCAAACCTAACTAATGCCTTTCTTTTCCATGCTTGGACTTACAGCTGTTGTAGATCTTTTTCCGCATCATGCTTTGTACTTTGTGTTATGCACAACTTTTTTTTACATGACCACCATCTTTGTTGCCATGGCAGCAGACATGTCAATGCAAAATGTAGTACCCAACACAGCATAAGAAAGGGAAAGGGAGAAAGTAGAATATAAAAATTAAGAGAATGATTTAAATTTCAAACCAAAAAATGAGTGATAAAGTTTGTCTGTGGCGAACATAGCATCTTTGTAGTATTCTTCTAGATACGCGACAAGAAGTGTCAATGACCTTGGGTCTCTCGCTTCCCTCATAGAAAAACATAAGCTGCAATTACTCACTGTGGTGAGAAAAGCATAAGAATGAAAAAAAAAATTTTAATGTAATAAAAACACAATTTACCGTTTCATCAAATACACTTTTACCCACTTTATTACAAGTTCCAACGAAAAAAAAATAAAAAATACGTCAGAAAAATCAACATCCATTTTTCATAATGGTCAAACTGGGACAAAATAGCCTTATTTTGAAATATTACAATTAACCAGTAACTTAGTAACTTAGAATATCTAAGTAGACCTTAGCATATACATTATAAGCAAAAAGTAACATTACTGAAACTGTCACATCGTGCACATATGTTTGTCAACGTTGCATAGCTCCAGCTACATGATCCCTGGATTTTTAACAAAGTTTTGTTGAGCAATTGTTGTTAGAAATGGGTCTCTCTAACTCTAAGAAGGAACAAATTTGCCTAGTAAAGCATTATTTTTGCTCATATGGAATTGGTAGTGAAGGTGTCCGAAGATGCCCAAGTTTGAATAATATGCAGAACAATTCTGAGAGAAATTTGATAAGATAGCACCAAGTAATAGGGTTATGCTGTCTATTGTTAAGAAATTTTGGAAGTATACATTCTCAACTGAAGGGTAGACTGGTCTTCAAGTAACTTTTTTGACAAATGAAAATCACGCACATGTTCTTTAGCAGATTCTATATTCACCCTTTGAAGTTTACAACAAACATCTTTGAAACTTAATATCAGTGAAACATCGCCGTTCGTCTAAGGACATACATGCAATTTTGTACTGGATACAGGTTGGACAATGCTTGACAGAGCCAAATACGCAAGCAAGGATGATGTATTGTGAAGCATTTTTGGTCATTATGTACCAGGATCCACTAGGAATGTGTGGTTTTTTTATGTAAGTTGCATTCAATTGGATAGCTACATCAATCACATGCAATTGGATTCCTTTGTTTTGAGCGGCCAGATGTTTATACCAGAAACCATGATACAGTGCAAGTTGGACAAGATGGTGTGCCGTTTCAGCACTTGCTAAAGTAGGCCCCTATTTTAATGAGGATGGCAAAACTCTTACTATCACCCAAGAATGCTACAGGGGCATCGGCATATAACCATTTTTTTAATATTTGAGAAGTTTCTGTCTTGCAAGGTGCCTTCATATAAATAGACAGGACGGCTCAAGCTGCAGTTGCCATGCTGCAGAAAAACTTTACTGGATGAATCATAGTTCAGTGATATGTTTGAAAATCTGTGTGACCAAAATGAACACCGTTTACAGTGAGGCGGTGCACACTATGAACATTTTTATTACGCATACAGTGGTAAATCACCACACTTATGGTGTATGTTAGTTTCTTTCTGAAGAATTAAATTTACAGATAAAAACAAAGAAATATTATTTGTCTTTTTTTGTTCTGTACTGTTTCGTTTGTCGCAAGTCATTTCAATACTTATAATTTTTTATTTTTTTTTAGTAATAATTGAACATTTGTGCAACAGCCATTGATGCAGCAAATAATAAAAATTCAAAACTGATGACAAATAATAAACAGTGAAAATAAAAATGTACCTACTTGTATAGATACATAGTTGCATTTTGTGAACTTGTTTTTAAAGAAATTTTGTTACCTTAAAAGCATGAAAAGCCCTTATAATTAAAAGTTATTCTAATAAGAATTAGCATTGTTTTATTTTTACTCTTGGACTAATTGGAATTTTACCTTATCAATTACAGGTCCAACAAAAATGAAAACAGTCTTTCTCAATCAATAAATAAATTAAACTGCCCATGTATGGATAGACCCTCTTATTTGGTGTAGGTGAAGAGGGTTTGCCTTACAATGAGTGGGGAAGCTGAGCAATCGCCAGGGTCATCTACTTCATCCTCATCCTACTCATCATCAAAATTCAGGATGACAAACTTGGATATCAAGCCAAAAATACTTGGTGGTCGAGAAAGACCAGTATATAAGCATGCTCAGCACACTCATAAAGCATTTGAGTCACTGAATGAAATGAGAAGGTAATTTACAATTTTATGGAACTTCAAAAATATTATTAGATCAAGTTAACAGGAAAATAAGCATCAGCATCTCAAACTAAAGATGGTCTAAAATTTATAACTGGAGAAATTGTGTCTTCAAGTTCTTCAGAGCATTGAAATCTTCATTATTTTAAAATTGAGAACAGCTACAGTACATTTTTGTGGTCTATTATGAAGGACACACACACAAAAAAAAAGAATCTTTAACTTGTGCTGTCTAAATATTTGTTTGCTTACAAAACAAATGCAGCACTTATTTTATTTTACTTTACTTTTTGCCTATTCAAAACTGCCTATGTTACTTTCTGCCTCACAGAATGGGACTGTTATGTGATGTTTGTATAATAGCTGGCAACCAAGAGTTGCATTGCCACAAGTCAGTTCTAGCTGCCTGTAGTCAGTATTTCTATGCCATGTTCACCAATGAGATGTCTGAATCTAAAATGAAATGCATCACCCTCCAAGAAATAGATCCAACCGCGTTATCATTACTGATAGATTTTGTCTACACTTCAGAAATTCATGTTACGGAAGATAATGTACAGGTAAAACAATCTCACACCTTATTCTACATTGTTTTTGTTAAAATAAAGCTTGAACATATAGCCTGATTTCGTCTAGTTAATCTTTAAGTCACTAAATAGTGGAACAAGATAGGTTTCAGGCTTGAAAAAAAAGACAGAGCAATTAAAAGGACATTTCAATTGAATATCTTCTTCAGCAGATAATACAAACCAAGAAATAACAAATTATACTTTGGTTGTCTTGTAATATGCATATCTGTCTCGGGTTAATCCTGTAATATAGGCCAAAACGTTCCAAAGTGTCCTCGTTTTATAGCCATTTTAATTGTTTCTATAGTATAGTAGTTACTATCCTAATGTCTCATTTTTATTGTAGTTAGTTTACATGTTTTTAATAATTGTAAAGCACTTAGAGCTTTAAGGTAAGCGCTATATAAAAATGCCTAAATAAATAAATATCTTCCCATTATTATCTCAATGCCTTTAACAAGACAAGGAGAACTCAGGTTGAATGCTATTTTAAGTGTTTCCATCATCATAAAAATGATTTTATTTATTTACAGACCCTTTTACCTGCAGCAAATATTCTGCAAATAACGGAAGTTCGTGATGCATGTTGTGATTTTTTACAAGCTCAACTTCACCCATCCAATAGTTTAGGTATTAGAGACTTTGCTGATTTGCATGCCTGTCAAGACCTCTACAGCTATGCCCAGACATATACAGAACAGCACTTCACGTATGCTACTTGCCTTAGATGAATTTAAAAATAAATATTCCTTCAATTTCGATACCAAGACAAATGTCAGATAACAATTTTTATACACACTTTATTTTAAAAGGCTAGTGGTTTAATATATATTTATAATTAAGTGTTGCACTTTATGCACTAATCATTAACATTTTATCAAAATCATTTAATGATAATGGGTGCGCCAACCTTTACCACAAGGTTATTATTTCTTTAATTAAACTTTTCTATGAACATAAAATCTTTACTTTTTTAGGTCTGTTTGAGTATCCCTCAAAATCAAACTTAGTTGTTGTTTTTTGTTTAACAGAGAAGTAGTCCATTATGACGAGTTTTTGTCCATGTGTGTTGATGCAGTGTGTAAACTTATTTCAAGTGATAGGCTTACAGTTACATCGGAAGAACAAGTGAGTCTCATTTTAGGTTAGATAACTTTATAGCGCCTACATCTTTCATTAATTTATGTCAGTATTTCCCCAAATTGTATAATCAATCAATATTTCCCCTATTGCCTTTCTTAGTCTGATACTAAGAGCACCAAATAAAAAAAAAATTTAAAATGTATTAGCATTTGATGTCATCTCGTCAGGTTTATGAAGCTGTTATGTCTTGGGTTAATCACAATCTCCCAGCCCGTCAAAACTGCGTTGAACAGCTGTTAGAAAATGTGCGGCTCCCTCTCATTAACCAGGAATACATTGTACAAAAAGTTGAAGAGGAGCCTCTTGTAAAGGCAAATTCTAGGTAACTCACAATGGGGGCAATATTTTTACAATAAATAAATGCACCTGAAACAAATAGCTATGTCACATGTTTTTTTCCATTTCTATATTTATTTAAGTGTAACTTGACTAATCATGGCATAAAATTACAAATTAGATGCCTAGAAAATATACCACAAGCTGAGTTTATTTCATAAGTTATAAATTGGCTAAAAGCCAAATTATAATCACTTGATAAAACAGCTCAGAAAATAAACAGTTCTGCTTTCTAAAATTCTTGAAAATAAATAACCACAAAAGAGTTCAGTTGCAAATAAAGAATTAGATGAAATGTTTCACCATGTAATTAATTGACAAATTCACTGGCAACATTAACAGAATGCTACTTTTCTTCCAGGTGTAAAGATTTTCTTATAGAAGCTATGAAATATCATTTGCTCAAAACAGACCAAAAGCCATTGTACAAAACCCCTAGAACACAGCCCAGAAATCCTATAGGGTTACCAAAGGTAATTGTCTCTACCAGGGGTTGGCAGGCTACAGCATGTGGGCCACACTTGGGATGCGGAGCAATTTTCAATGGGATGAGGAAGACCCGAAAAAATCAATAAATGACTAAAACGTGTCTTATAAAGCAAACTTACCGGTTGTTCACACGCTGAATGAATTGTATTTCCTACTTTGGCACAATTTTACCACTAGGTTGTCTATAATATTTTGCTTAAATATTTATTAGATGAATACTCCAATGGGTAATATATTTTCTAGGTGGATTATTTTTTTCATGTGTAACCCATTTCAGTAAAGAATCTTGAAGTTTAATTAGCTCATTTTGCAAGAAGGTATTATTTATATAAATATATTTCTATTTGAATTTCTGTCTACATGTAAGCATTTCTTTCTTCTCTGGCCAAGGTATTACTTGTGATAGGGGGCCAGGCCCCCAAAGCCATCCGTAGCGTAGAATGTTATGACTTTCAAGAAGAAAGATGGTACCAACTAGCAGAAATGCCATCAAGACGATGTCGCTGTGGTGAGGGATTCAAATTTATAAATACTTATTTGTAATATTAATCAAATTAAATCATTTGGAGAATGACAATTATTTTGAAACAATATTGGAAGAATGACCAAAAGCTAAAAAAAGGGATGCTGCAGGTATTCTTAATAATTTTGATCATTTATCTAACAAAAAGATATGTAGTCCAGCCAAACTCATATATTATTTAAACTTAGAAAGAATTATGTCAAATAAATTATGAGTATGTCAATATTGATAAAAAATAGTTTATTTAGAATATTAGTATTTATCTTCTTTCTATGTTCAGGTCTTGAATAAGAACATGATGCTTACTATTAAATGACATTTAATGACTTAAAAATGATCTACTTTCTCAATCTGCTGCTGGCAATTGTGCAGGTGTAGCAGTATTGAATGGCTTAGTGTATGCTGTTGGAGGCTTCAATGGTTCGCTTAGAGTCAGGAGCATAGATGTTTATGATCCCTTGAAAGACACCTGGAACTCTTGCCCTAGTATGGAGGCGAGACGGAGCACTCTTGGGGTCGCTGTGCTCAATGGGAATATTTATGCAGTTGGAGGTTTTGATGGTGCTGCAGGTATCTTTTTCTTTTTTCTTTTTAAAAAAAAGCATGAAAGTGACCCAGTTGGGGAGGGGTAGCATTGTCGGCCTCAAACCATGAGGTGGTGGGTTCAAATTATTTGTCCTTCCACAGCTACAGGCATATTGCCCATTGGAAAGGATTTATCAGTCCACAGCTACCGGCATATTGCCCAAGGAAAGGATTTATCAGTCCACAGCTACAGGCATATTGCCCATGGAAAGGATTTATCAGTCCACAGCTACCGGCATATTGCCCATGGAAAGGATTTATCAGTCCACAGCTACAGGCATATTGCCCATGGAAAGGATTTATCAGTCCACAGCTACCGGCATATTGCCCATGGAAAGGATTTATCAGTCCACAGCTACCGGCATATTGCCCATGGAAAGGATTTATCAGTCCACAGCTACCGGCATATTGCCCATGGAAAGGATTTATCAGTCCACAGCTACCGGCATATTGCCCATGGAAAGGATTTATCAGTCCACAGCTACCGGCATATTGCCCATGGAAAGGATTTATCAGTCCACAGCTACCGGCATATTGCCCATGGAAAGGATTTATCAGTCCACAGCTACCGGCATATTGCCCATGGAAAGGATTTATCAGTCCACAGCTACCGGCATATTGCCCATTGGAAAGGCCTCATCAGTCCACAGCTACCGGCATATTGCCCATTGGAAAGGCCTCATCAGTCCACAGCCAGACAATTTTTCTTTGGGATGAGGTAATACCTCAATAAATAAAAAAAATCTCAACCACTTAATTCAAAAGAAAATATCCAACCTAGAGTGGGATTTTTTTTAAAATCAGATGTACAAACTATTCATACGCTATTCCCACACTATGCAATATTCCTGCTCTACTATGACACAGACAATAAAATGAAATTAGAGTCAAATAAGAAGTTTTAAGAAATTTGTTGATTTAAAGATGTGGAGGATTTTAATTTTTACTGTAGATAAAAGTATAAAGTAATAATAATAAAGTTTATTTCAAAAACACGCTTCATCCCCAAAGGCTCGAAGCGCGGTACAAAGTCAAAAAAAAAAACAACACTATAATTTACATTTGTTGTTGTTCGTCCGTCGAAGTCGACAAGGACCATCGAATCATCCGGTTAGGGTCGGGCGGGAGGGTTGGGATTACAGTGAGCTCTTAGGTGGCTTGTTAGACCGATCCTTGCTCGGAATAATCTATGACACCGTGGGCATGGAATAGTTGCTTCAGACGATGACCTAATGTTGCTCTTTCGGACAAGCCTGCGTGTCTCAGCTGTGGTTATTCTCTTAACTTCATGGGATTTAGCCCCCTTCTTGACAGCAGCTCTCCATCTGGCTCTGTCCTGGGCTGTCTGCACCCATTGAGTAGTGTTTATGCTGAAGGCCTTTAGTGCCACTTTCAGTGAGTCTTTGTAACGCTTTCTTTGGCCTCCTTGGGAGCGCTTGCCTATCGTGAGTTCTCCAAAGAATATTTGTTTCGGGAGCCGGTGGTCTGCCATACGGGCTACGTGTCCCATCCAACGGAGCTGAGACTGCATCAGAGTGGTGAAGATACTAGGTAGGTTCGCTCTAGCGAGGACCTCGGTGTCGGGGACTTTGTCTTGCCACCTGATGTCGAGGAGTTTCCTGAGGCAGGTAGTGTGAAAATGATTCAGTTTCTTGGCGTGACGCTGGTAGACAGTCCACGTTTCACATCCATAAAGCAGTGTCGGGAGGACTGCTGCGCTATAGACCTTGAGCTTTGTTTCACGACTGATACCTCTCCTGTCCCAAACAGTGCTGCGGAGCCTGCCAAATAGGGCACTAGCTTTTGCGAGTCTGCCATTCATTTCATCATCCATGACGACAGATCTAGAGAGGGTGCTGCCCAAGTAAGTAAATTTATCCACCGGGTTGAGACGCTGTCCACTGATGATGATGTTGGGTTCAACGTAGGGCTTACTGGGAGCTGGCTGATTTACATTTAAAACAAACGCAACACTACAAAAACTAATTACAAGCATACCAAGTCAAAGTCTTTCTACCCATTTCAACCATAAGCAACACAGCCAATATGCATTAACTGGAAAATATGGTAGACAATCATCCCAGAAGGTGTTTGCGAAATAGATGTGTCTTTAAATCGGTTTTAAAGGACTCCAGTGTCTGTTTTTTTTTTTTTGAGATCGACAGGAAGGGCGTTCCAAATTGTTGGATCAGCAAATGTGAAAGTGTGCTTTCCGTAAGTCTCAAGGCGAACACGTGGTGTCGAGAGTTTGCCACTATCGGATGAGCGGAGTAGTCTAGTGGTTACATAAGGCATCAGCAGCTCTTTCAGATAGGACTGCACCAGGTCATGTAAGCAGCAGTAGCACAAAGTTGCTATTTTGTACTCTATGCGAGCACAGACCGACAGCCAGTGCAACTCTCTCAGAAGTGTTTTAGCATGGTCGAACTTGCGTTTGCGAAGAACAATGCGAGCCGCATTATTCTGTGAAAGCAGAGCTTTTTTACAATGAATTCCATAAGTTTTCACTTATTATTTACATTTCTAAACTCAATTCATTAAGTCTCACCTCAGTAAAAAAAGATGATGAAATATTCAAACAGACACTTTATCCTCTAGTGTCATTTTGATTTTCACTTGTGATAATTACAGGCCTTGATTCAGCCGAGTATTTTGATGTCAGGGCAGGAATGTGGAGGTCCATGACCAGCATGAGTACAAGGAGAAGTAGTGTTGGTGTTGGCGTTGTTGGAGGTACATTTTGCTCACTTAGGCTGGGTGGCGTGTCTATAACTGAAAACTTCTGTTTTCATTGCTCACCGGCTCAGGAAAAAAAATATAATGTTGATGTGATAAATTTTTTAAATTTCTTTTTCTAATTTCCTATTTCATGGCTTGACTATTTTTTAAAAACAAGATGAGTTAACTTTTCTTTCATGCTTTCTTTGGCCTATTACAAACGATTCCTATCCCCTCCCTTCACAGGTCTGTTATACGCAGTTGGGGGCTATGATGGAGCATCAAGACAATGTTTGAGTTCTGTTGAGTGCTACAATCCATTGTGCGACACCTGGTCTATTGTGGCTGAGATGTCATGCCGTAGGAGTGGTGCTGGTGAGGGCTCTAAAACTCCAGATGTGTTGTTTTTATTTTACATTTCCATTGGTCAATGGGTTTATTAATAGTTGTGACTTTATTTGTAAAGCTTGGCACATAATGTTTTACAAGGAGAATATGTGAAGAGCATTTTTACTCTATTTGGTTTTACCTTTACACCTTCAAGGGTCAGTCCTTGTCAGTCCAGTTTGCTCATGAGGTTTTTTTTTACCTGTTAATAACCAGGTGTAGGAGTTGTTGATGGCATGTTATTTGCTGTGGGAGGCCATGATGGCCCCCTGGTCAGAAAAAGTGTGGAAGCTTATAATCCAGAGACCAATTCATGGATAGCTGTTGCGGATATGCACATGAGCAGGCGAAACGCAGGTGAACAAATTGCTTCCTAATTACATTTACCTCTGTGAACTCATTGTTTAACGGTGATGATTTAATTGTCTCTCTATTATGCTACATTTCAATTGAAATGCACTAAGTTGGTAAAATGTTGTCTTTGAGAATAAGAATATTAAAGAACAGACTAGTTAATATGTAAGTTATATATCACTAATGGGAATGCCAATATTTTTATAATGTGTATTTTTAAATTGTAAATTTGTGTCTAATTGCAGGAGTGGTAGCCAACGGCAACAAACTGTATGTCGTGGGTGGTGATGATGGCTCGTCCAATTTGGGATCTGTTGAAGTCTACGATCCATCAACAAACAAGTGGACATTACTGCAGTCAAGCATGATGACCGGGAGGTCTTATGCAGGTGTAACTGTTATAGAGAGGCCTATGATGTAGATGCTGTACAGTTTTGTTTCATTTACAAAGGGCATTTTGACAACCAGTGCAATTTTTTTACTTGTGATGTGAACAAAAAGATTTCATCTGTAACTCAATGGGTGGGTGTAGAAATGACTCTGGAACATGTGTAACAACAAGAATTCAAAAACATCAACAGCAAGTTTTTCAAATTGTACTAGCAAGATATCACTGGAACAACTACAATAAAAATCTGTTTCAGGCATAATTTATTTCATTATTTCATAACTTTTGGAACAAAGTTTAGGCAGACGAAGTGAAAGTTTACTTTAAGTGTGCTATTGGATTTTCATTAAAAACTTGACACTGATAATTATTTGGACAATTCTTATACATGGGTTGAAAGGTTTTTTCTAATAATTGTTCTGAAGTATATTATAATCATAGCTAAGAATTGCTGGCATCCATCCGTCACAATGTGACGATGGAGGGGGCTTTGGAGGTTGAAATCCACATGGCCTGGGATTATTCTTCAAGGATTATAAGCTGGTTCCCAACAGCAAATCGCCTCTCTCCACGCTAAGAATTAAGCTAGAATAATCCTTGCTCTCTATCAAGAAGCCTGCTTATGAAATCCTGCGAAGTATTTAAACAAAACTTCCTACCAAGTAGGAATTTGTAATGTTGTCGTAGCCAAGACATCATGAATGTTGACTCATTTAAAGAGGCCATGTTTTTTTTAAATTTATTTCACCATTTTCGACAGTTATCTCTATGACAGATAGAGAGTCAGTTTTATTCTGTCGCACCCTATCAAAAAAATGTTTATCAACTACCATACTACATCTCTCTAATTTTGAAGAAGGAAGAATGAAATGGCACAAAATATGTACTTGAACTTGCATCATAAATTTATATTTTATCACATTCTATGTGGACATGAATCAGTATCACAATGACTTTTTTAGTTGTGTCTTAAATTTGAAATAAAAAATTGATGTGCCATCAAAAATGAAGTTACAAAATTATTTACTTGAAAACCATTCATTGACAAAGTCTTGTTGGTCACATCTTTAAAAAAAAAAAACGTTTGCTCTTTTTTGCTATATTTTCTTGTAGGGATTGAAATTAATGCAATACAGTACATGGTAAATCATTCTGTGTAAATGGAAATTTATCAGTCTCTCTTTGTAATGTGACAATAATTATAGGTTGTAAATATTTGTTGTTGATGATGTTTCTTGTGATAAGATGACAATTTTTTGCTATTTGTGTGAATATGCATTATTTTGTGCTGGCTAAGACGGAGGTGCTTGAAAAATTTAAAATAGAGCTCTTTAGAATAATATTAAAGGTTTTTATAAAATGATGAGCTTAAAGATCTGTTTTAATTCTCATTTATTAATTTCTTTCATCCCTACTTTAAATTGAATGTTTGTCATGAATATTGACAAATTTTGCAGTATTGTACCATGAAAAGTTAAAAAAAAAAAGAAAAGCAGGTTTATAGACAAAAATATGTGCAAGAACGCAGATACACCAGGAATTAGCCATCATTATAACCCTTTTATTTATATTCATACTACTAATTGCGGAGGCTAAGCCGATATGGAATAGGAAATGATTGGGGCTTTGTTTTTGCTTTCTATTCCTTAATACCTATACAGAAATATCAGTTATGTCAATTTGATGATCATACAATCCCTAAGCAACAACAACTAGTGGAAATCAAGCTCAGAAACCTTTGATTCAAATACCATTTTAGTTCAGTATCTGGGTCACTGTCTCTGGTTTGGAGTCAGACTCTGATAATTCGCATACAAAAGGGATACAATTTTGTTTTTTTTCCAGTTAAGTTAGTTCAACACTGTCATGAGATAAAAGAATGTTAAAGTTTTTAAGTTAGGTCATCTAATTCTTTGGACCAAAATCAAGAATAAAATTTATTTTTTTTTTAAACAAACAAAAATTAATTTTAACTTAAAAAGTAGTGCCTTACAAAAGTCTTTGCATTTTGAAATCTTTTAAAATATAGTACTCGAGGGCCTTCCTGTAACAGTTAAATTATATTTAATCAAGAATACAGGTGCCAACAATGTGTTTTATTCACAATTAGATATGTTTCCATTGTCATTAGGTTATTATTTGAAAATAAAAAACCAAAGTCAATTTGAAATTTGAACGCAAAAAAGCCAAGTTATGGCCAAATTTCATAGAATGACAAAGTCTGCAATAGGGCTATGTTTTTTTTGTTACCTGGGATCGAAGAGGTTAAGACTGCTTGTAAATTGGTACATCAAATTATTTATTAACACAATTTGATTAGTTCAGGTACATATGTTTGTGTTAATATGAGTACAAAGTAGACACTGGTGCTTTAGCATTCATAGTTACCGTATTACTTCAGTCAAGTTTTCTAAATATATATTAATTTTATTTAGTAAAAAAAGAACTCATTTTATTACACAAAAAACAGTATTATTATAAATTATTACAAGACAGTTTTAATGAATTTTAGATGTATAACTATAAATTTAGTGCAACGAGACTGTTATTTTATGTTTCTGTTCCAAAGGTAAATGCAAAAATGTTATTTTCGGTGTCAATAAACTGTTGCCAGCGATTGATGATCCATCATCCTATTTCATGTTCTCAATTTCACTGCAGTTTTATAAACTGTAGGAGACACCCAGATCCATGGATCTTTAGTGGATGCATTAAAACTGATGTAGATGAGTGTAAATAGGTGGGTATTCCTCAAGTTGGTCTTATTTGTTTATTTCTGCCTCAAGCAAGAAAAAAAAATGAGGCACTTGTAGTTAAGCAACATTTAAAAATTTTACTCCCTAAGTTACACTGTATCACATGTCCAAGAGTAAATTAACCTTTTTGTTCACTGTATTTTATTTGTCATTCAGTTGCAGTGTAAATTTAATAAAACAGAACAGACATTGTTTAAAAGGGATAATTTCTGTGTTTAAAAAATTAAGAACTGAAGCTGAGAAATTATTTTGATGACATCAAATAATGTAGCTTACTGCCAACTGTCCAAATGCTTACGGCTCCTTTTAGAATATAAAATTATAAAATATATTTTTAACCATTTCATCAAAATATTTATTTTTGGTTATCAGGAACAAGAACAACAAAAAATGAAATGTTAGAGAAACTATTTATATGACTTTTCGATATATATTTCAATAACTCTTAAACTAAGTTGAACAAACCACTTGCAAAATTTAAATTTACACATGTGCAATATGATATTTCCTTTCTAAATTTGTTTTATAGTCATAATTATGATTAATTATCTTATATCAATTATGCCTGTTGTATTTTTTAAATTTAGTATTGATTTGTTTTTTGTTGTCCCTCAAAAAAATCTGCATGTGTTAAAATCTTCAAAAACAAAATCAAATACTATAATGTATTATTACCAATTTTCTCTTATAATGCTTATGGAATATCAATGAAAACAAACTATTACATCGTGGCAGAGCCTGGCTTGGTTATGAAAGATATGACAATTTGAACAAGTTTCCATTTTTTAAAGCACAAAAAAAATCTGATGATAAGCTCTACTCATCTGATGTTACCTACGATCCTGTATATTGGAATTCATATAAAATGTATGTCTTTTTAGAAACTGTTTGCTATTTTCAATGATTGCCTTCAATACAATTTTTTTTAACAACTACATACCTGTTCAGCAAGTATTCTCAAATGCATTATATTTTATATATGATATATTCACCAAGAATTACTTCTAATTACAATGTGGCTCCTTTGTGGCATGGTTAACACATTGGAACCTGTGCAGACTCTAATATATTTAATGCTAATTCTGTCATATCACACATCATTCTCATTGACTTGAAATAGTTAAAGCTAGTTTTGTCATCTCAAACTGTTACATTATTACTCACCTAAACTTTACTTTTGAATCTGCTATTCCCTATTCTGAGCATTCACAGTCACAGTATTATATTGTCGTATTAGGAGCTTAATAGTTTTCTTGAAATTCAATTACTTTTCTCTTCAGCACCCCACCAAAAATAAAAAAACAAAAAACATTACCAACTAGAACCATTTCCTTAAAATAATATAAAATTCTTAAGTCTGATTAATCTTGTTTTAAAAACCAAAATTGTTTTAAAAAAGTAGAATATCATTAGGAAAGTAAGATGAACAATGTAATTATTTAACTTGCATCTCTATGTTTCAATGCTTTGGTCAAGCATTATTCATTAAACACTTTTCTAGTGGCCAGGCTGGCAGCATTGATCAGTACCAGGCAACAGGCCAATGGTGAATCATTTTTCACTTCCTACATTGCCGTAACACCATCAGCATATGCTTTTGATACTTTATTAGTCAGGCTTTACTTTTAGTTTACTTTTAGACTTGGTAAAGCAATGTCTCTCTTGTCTATAAGTCTAAAAGAATTTTGGAAACCCATTATCAGTACAGTTTACTGTTATAAAATTCAGTCTTTAGTTAAATTTAGCAATTGACATTAGATGACTTAAATTTAGATTGGAATTTAAGAAATTTTGAAGTCAATACTGAAACAATTTATGAAAAATTATTCAAGAAAATTGCTTTAAGTGTCCTCTAGCAAGTTGTGTTTTTAATTTCTCTCTTGTTTATAAGTATAAAAGAATTTTGGAAACCCATTATCAGTACAGTTTACTGTTATTAGTGTTATGCACACCATATTTAATTCATTATTACATTTTTTATCTGTAGGTATTCACAAGAAACTTTTTTATGTCTGGTCTTTAGCAAATCACTGCATTCTGTTGTTTTTGGTTGTATTTTTTTTTTTTTTTTTATTTTAAATATTTTTAAAAAATTATTTGTAAATTACTGTAAATCCAGATATTTTACTGATTCATTATCCAAACTTAGCTAATTGATTTTTTTTTTTTTTTGTTTTGTTTTTTTTTTTTTTTTTTATTTTTTTTTTTTTTGTTTTATTTTTTTTTTTTTTTTTTATTTTAAATATTTTTAAAAAATTATTTGTAAATTACTGTAAATCCAGATATTTTACTGAGTCATTATCCAAACTTAGCTAAGTGATTTTTTTGTATAAATTATATTTACTGGAAAGTCTTTACTAGCATAAATTCAAACTCAAGGGTCTCAAATTGTGGTCGCCTTTAAGACATTGGACACAGCCTTACAGTGAATTAAGTATATTTACTTTTTAAAGCTTGAAATCAGCTTAGATTTATGTTCTGTTTGGTTAATTATGTCTGCTCAACTTTCCATAGAAATAGAATTGTTTAATATATTTTTAAAATTTGGATTTAAATTAAAATGAACATTAATTAAATAATTGTCAATGAGAGAAATTTAAAATTAAAAGACAATGTTTAATTCAACAGCAACAAAAGGGGATGGACCATGTATATTGTAATTGTAGGTGAATTTTCGTTTTTTTCGGTGGTTTTTAGCAGTAAAAAAATTAACACCTGTTATAAATAAAATACTCAGTTGTAAAATGTTAACTTTAAAAATGGAAGACATGAACAATATAAAAATTATAACTATTCAGCGAGAAATTATTGAATTTTAGGGTTTTTAAATAGATAAAGTAATACTTATTTTTTAATGTTGCTGTTTAAATCTTTATTTATTTTTATCTATTATGAATAATTTTTTTTATAACGCTCAGTAGTTATGATAATTTGTACAATCTCAGTTGTTTTGTATGTTGCTCCACCCAAGTATTCCTTAATAAAAACAATTCTTTGACATGCTTTATCATTTTTTGTATTATCATGTTGTAAAGATAGGATAAAACATGTTTCAACTTTATTTGTGATTGACTTTTATGATGTCAATTTTTATAAAGTATTTATCAATTGTAACGTTTATTATAATTTAACTGATAAAATTTAGGAAGGATTATTATTATTATGTTGGGTGGTTTTTTATTTTTACAAATTATGTTGTCTTTAATATTTATTTTGTTTAATGTTTGTGAGTGTGTTACCATATCTTGAGGACTGACTGACTACATGATACATATGTGCTTAACACAGAGATTACACAGACACATTGACAAGGATGTTAAAATGACAATATTGTATTTAATACTTGTAAATCATGACCAAAATCAATAAACAAAAATTGATTATCTGTAGTTTGACTTTCTGTTGAGTGCTACAAAGTTCTTTGCATTCTTTGATTGGGAGATTTGCAGTTTTGTTTCAAATAAGATATGTAAGGGGGGAAAATAGACAATAATGTATACAAATTTATCAACAAAAATATATGAAGTAACTCAAATTTTTGTTAAGTTGTTAAATAGTTAGATTCTCACATACTGATTTTATTAATTTAGATTTACATTAATATTTTTAAAAATTATCAAAAAGCAGTTATTAGTTTTTGTGACTGTCAAATACACACCAAAATTGATATTAAATAATTATAATAAAAAAAGAAAAATAAGTTTGAATTTTGAGTAATGCAGGCTAAACATTTACTGATAAACTACCTGGGGATCAGTTGTTAACATTAATCATTACATTAGGCTATTAATACTAACAATTATTGTTCATAATAATAGCTGCATTTTTTAATCACAAGAATACATCTTAGCGTGTTTAAATTGAATAGAAATGGGTAAATCAAATTATTATTAAAAAAATAAAAAGAAACATAAATTTTAAAAAATGAGCATTGATTATTCAGGTAAATGACAACAACTGTAGCTGTAAATTGTGTTTGGGGGAGAAAAAAAAAGGGGTGGGTTAGTGTTGTAGGGGTAAGGTTATGGCTTCTTGGAACTGCAAACCTGAGAACAAATCAAATAAAAATCATGTCATTCTTAATAGTTGCTATTCTTTAAATAATTTACTATTTTATAACAAATTGTAACATTCCTTACATATACTTATTTTTTTATTTTAACATAACAATCAATTCTGGCTTTGAGAGCAGACAAAGGTACTTGCCACTAACTATTACACCATCTTAGTGGATCAACAAGCTGACTGATTAGGTTAAAATATTTTTAGCTCATCTATAAACTTTCTATCAATGTGTGTAGTAATATTCAGAAGATAGTAAAGGTTTTTAGGGTACGTTATGATATTTTGTTTGAAAATCTAAATAACACTGGGCCTAAGAATACCTGTTTATTAATTAGCCAAAGAATGGCTTTTAATCCAAGCCTCTGAAATCCATCCTTAAATGCCTGCTTTATCAATAATTTTAGGACTTGCTTGAAGGCAAGACTGAAAACATCTACTCCACAATAAGTCTTATGCAAGATGATACCGACCACATGAAGTATAAAATGTAAGTGTACTGCAGCAGTCATCCCCAGGAGAGTAGCAAAACGCCTTTCAACAGCCCATGTCACAAATTCTGTGGCCTGTGTCAAACGTTTTTTACCATATTTGTGATCACTGGTGGTACACACATCTCTGCAATGGATGCCAAACAGTTAGTGCGTGGTGTCATTTTCACCCCTGAATTGCATAATTATAGAGAGATTAAACAATAAACATAATTATCCAACTAAAAAGTTAAAGGGACATCATTGTGGCATTTGTTTACTTTTTATGTTGAAAAGGGTGGAGTGGTGTTCAATAATCTAGTTTACCTTCTTAGGCAAAGAAACAACAAAGCAGCCTTGAAGGGCCAAGTTTTTACTTCTTACTGAGATATTACTAGTATTAAGAGTGTCTAACTTAGGGTGACCAAATCGAGAATCTTTTCACTCATGAACATTTAATGGACGGACAAAAGAAACAAGATGAGAGTGGAGACCCTTTCTGCAATCCTGCAGGTTCTCTACAATTTCGAAATGGACTGTTCTAGTTTTTACAACTTTAAATTAAATAAGAACAATGGCTGGGACAACAACCAAATATCATTAATTTAAATCCTAAACTAGAGGAATTTAATTAGTTGTGTTTTAATATGTTGTACAATAATCAATATATGTATAAATAAATAAGCATTCACTGCAAAATTATTGTTTTCGTTGATGATATGCCTCAGAGTTTAAATTAAATTACAAAAGTGAAGGTAAAGTTAAAAAGATTTCTAGGTCTCAAAATAGTTTAAAATGCACATATTTCAATAAACAGTTTCCGGCGGAGGCCCCCCGAACCCCTATTTAGCTGGAGGGTATCCCCCACAACCCTCCTTGGGTGTGCTAACCCTCCTTGGGTGTGACCCGTTTTTTCCAGTTCATGATTTGGTCACACATGTTTCAGATCTAATATAGGCTTACATTTTCACCAACCTTCCCACCCAAAGGTTAGGCTTATTTTGACTCCGATATAACTCATATAACTATTCTTCTTCTTATTATTATTATTAGTCTTAGTCTTAGGCATCACCTCCTTGCCTAGCATTATACTCCAATTCGAATGGCTCAATTTCCTGGCCATGAGTGTCACTACAATACACATACAAAAAACTTTTTTTTAAAAATAGGTTATTATGTAGTGACAAATAAAAATCGTTTTTCTTTTCCTTTTTTCAAAACATTTTATATTCACATGGAGTTATTAATATAAAACCCCGCAAACTTAAAATTAAATTTGGTTTAGTCATCCCCAGGAGAGTAGCAAAACCATCCTTACTTTTGAAATACTGTTTGAAGTGTTTGAGACATCTTTATTTTCATTTCTTTAAAACCTAGAAATAAACAATTTTTTTAAGGAATGCAGTTTCATATCATCAAAAATATTAACAGACATCACTATTGATTGGTTATGTCATGTACGCTATTCATGTGTAACTAAATTATAGTTCAAATTGACAAAAATCTGGCAACTTACCAAATAAATGAAATGTATTGCAACCGTTATCCCTTTGAATGATGTAGAGAAATGGAATGCTTGGGTCCACTTGGGAAAAGACTTTTCTCTCGTTGTACTTAACTTTGATAGTAGAAATATGCGTTGCACTGATGCATTTCTTCACCTCGAAAAGGCTGAGTTTAAACTTCAAATTTAGTCTCAAAATTAAGGCTAATCTCGCCATTGCAGCCATCTCAGAACAGACTAGTTGGTTTGGTTTGCCTCGTTGGACTAATAAAACGTTGGTTGTTGCGCTACAATAAATAATCCCTTTTACTGAAAGGATCATACATGGTATTAAAAAGGGCTGAGCCGGGTGCAGTTGTTTTTTTTTTTTACACCGGATTCGGGTAGACTCTATATTGAGAAATACCAGGCGGGTCTGAGGGTTATAAAAAAAAGAGGGGCCTTCTCATTTTCTATCATTTGTTACACACAATGGCTAGAAATGAAATGTGCATGTACCTATTGAACTAGTACAGATCACGAAGGCATACAATTGAAAAGACTTGATAATATAATCCTATCACAGCGGGTGTCAACCTTTTCAGCTATCATTGCAGAATATTGTCAAATTATTTTTTTTTTAAATTAGAAACTTTAATACTTAGCATTAATGATTAATCCTGAAGTAAAAGTTACATAAATTATACCATATAAACAAGAGTTATTGCGCAGGACGCGGTCAGCAGAATGGGGTCACAAAATGTGAAGGTGCAGTCCATAGTAAAAAAAAAAATACCAAACCAACTCACACTTTACAAATTTCATAGACCAAAAAAGTTCTATAGCTAGAAAGTTGATTCTGATTTAATTTTTTAAAATTAAAATATGCTCTATATTTTTATTTTTTTTTAGATTTTTTTTTGAATTTTTTTGAATTTTTTTTTTTTCAACCAAAGTACCTGATTTAAAAAATAATATTTGAATTCTATCACATCGTCTCGTGTTCCATGCGTTTTATCAGGCCAATTCCAGTACCTCTGCGGGCCTCATAAACTAACGTCGAGGACCGGATCCGGCCCACGCGCCGTAGTTTTGTTCCCCTGCCTTAGTATGTTTACAGGTCTACATAGTTAGAGGGTATTGTAATATTAAGGGAGATTTCACATTCACACATGGGGGGGGGGGGGGGGGGCCCCTCCAATCCAATGTTCCCTTTAGGCTGCGCGGCCGAGGAGCTATCTCACAGACGCCACGCAGCAGTCTTGAGTATCCGCGCAGCGAATTTCCATGAAAGTTTGTGTTTGTGGGCTCTAAAATTTTGCACACAAAAAATTGATGCGTTAAAACTTTGCACACAACTGTATGATTTTTGCACACGAACCAACAAACCTTTGAGTGAACATTTGTCCCAACCCTTACTAGTTAAAATATCTATGAAAAAAAATTTAACGTATATAAATACTAGCCAATATACCCGACGTTGCCCGGGATTGCTTTCGTTCCCCGATGGGATCCCGATCCCCGTGGATTCCTATCCCGCTGGAATCCTTATCCCGGTTAGAGCACGCTTCTGGTAGGATTACGATCCCTGTGGGATCCCGATCCCGTTTGGATCATAATCCAAGGTGTGATCCCGTTTCCCGGTGGGATCCCGATACCGTTGGGATCCCGATTCCGGTGGAATCCCGATTCCGGTGGAATCCCGATTCCGGTGGAATCCCGATTCCGGTGGAATCCCGATTCCGGTGGAATCCCGATCACGGTGGGTTACCGAGACTGGTGGGTCCCGATTCTCTTTGAGATCCCGTTTCAACGATAGGGTCCTAATCCCGGTGGGATCCCGTTTCAGGTAGGATCCAGAAGCCGTTCTCTGTGGATCAAGTTTCCCGGTGGGATACTCTTCTCCGATGGGATTCCGCTTGCCGATATTATCCCTATTTGATCCCGTTACTCGATGGGATCGCGTTACCGGTGGGTTCCAGTTTACTCCTTTCCTTTAGCATACTGTTTCTCGGTGGGATTATGTTCCCAGTGGGATTTTGTTCCAGGTAGGATTATGAAGGGTAGTCCTATGTTTAAAGAAAATCTCCATGAAAGTTTAGAAATGAATAGAACTAAACTAACATTTCAATAAGCTTTTAGGTAAGAATTATATATCCCTGTAGAACAATATAGAACTTTCCGGAATATTCTAGAAGTTTCGATTAAAATTAATATCCTCCTCGAAACATTTTAAAAATGACATTTCTACGTAATTATTTTTCGAACACGAAAGATTATACAACTAATTGCACCACCATAACTATAGTAGGCCTACATTCAAGTTGAAATAGGGGCCCAAGCGGGGCCCCATTCCATAACTGTACCGATTTAATTTTGCCTAAGATGGGGGCCCCATAAAAATCATTCAGATGAATTATGGAGTTAAAATTTGAAATTTGGCCCATTAAAATCTATTTAATAATGCCATGGATATAGCTTTTTAAAGTTTCCGACCTTTCTGGAAAATTATAGATTGGATATTCTTAGTTTTAAATATTCACCGATATTTCAGTACCGACAATGAAGTGTCTTGCTCCCACGCTACGCCTATATCCATCAATTCACGTAGAGCCTTTAGTGTTGTCTAAGCCTATTGATATTTATCTCGCTTATATAAGGAAAAAGGAAATGGGGCCCCCGGCCCCAGAGGAATGGATATTATGAGTTGAGTACCCATCTGTACTTGAATATGGATGATCAAGTCCAAGTGCACTGAGTTTTGTCAGTATCCATCCATTCATGTAGAGTTATTTGTTGGTCATTTGATTTATAGAGCTAATGTAAGGGGGGGGGGGAAACGAATTTGGTGCACCCGGCCCCAAACGGAATGTTATGAAAAGTTCATAACCCCCATCATTCTGGACAATGATGGATATATGTGCCAAGTTTGGTCAATATTCATGTAGAGTTATTTGGTGGTCATTTGATTTATAGAGCTAATGTAAGGGGGGGGGGGGAAACGAATTTGGTGCACCCGGCCCCAAACGGAATGTTATGAAAAGTTCATAACCCCCATCATTCTGGACAATGATGGATATATGTGCCAAGTTTGGTCAAGATCCATCAATCCGTGTAAAAAGCCACAAACAAACAAACACACTTTCACTTTTATAAATAATATACATGTATATATGATAATAGTGCATCTCAGCCGAGACAAAACTTTAGCGTTTTGGGTCCGGAATTTTGACTTTTATTCTGGTTGCAGTCTCTAGGGATTGTCGTTATGCCACAGGAAATCTGTCATGATGCAAGTAAGAGACCGTCTGGATCGTTGTGTGACGTGCAAGCTCTCTAGTCTGTTCGCGCATTTTTATTTATATTAGTTTTGATTCAAAGTTTTAATCAAACCCCTAAAATGCGCCATTGTTCACCGGCCCATTTGGACCCTTTACATTAGAAATTAACCACACACACACACACACACACACACGCACGCACGCACGCACACACACACACACACATACATACATATTTTGGCTACTCCGTGTCATCAGCCAGTCAGCACGGTAAAACGAAATATTGTTTTTAAATAGAAAGTGCCAAGGTCATAAAAAAAAAGATATACATCATGCTGAAACAAATAATTATACACAAGATTCACAGCAAGTTCATCATTGTTTCCAGCGCGTTGCCGTTTCATTTAGCTAACGCTAACATTTAGTTTCTATTCCATCGCATGTCATTTTCTATTATTATTTCTTTTATTCAGATGAAATGTCAAAACATAATGTTAAAAAATATGCACTGGTTATATACATTCATTTTTCAATGTGTACACAATTGTGTGGAACACAATCCACGGGCGTCTAATCGACAACTCCCGACTGGTGGACGCCAAAACCTGCCCACCCCATGGACTTTTGTCAGTTCTGCATTTATTGGCTTGCAGACAATTTGTTCGGCGCAGTGGCGTAGGGAGGACGCACTTCACCACCAGTGTTCATTTTTTTCTACTTTTTATGGAGGTGAAGCATTTTCGGCTCGCTGCAGAGTTTTTATCATGGAAGGAGGGTGGCCAAAATCTCTCCCCCCCCCCACTCCCCAAACAAAATGTAAACATTTTCGGGCAGTGCATCTTTAAGCGCCAAATTTTGACATAATGACGATCAAGTCCAAATGTAACTCCACCTCTCTCACTTAAATTAAAATAAATTAATTCAATTTGTAAAACCCTTTAGGGCACCGGCTCCAAATCTCTTATTTCCCTTCCGTATCTTTGATTAGACCTGTTTTAAAATATTGCTTCTTTTAGAAGGAGAGATCTTAAATATAACTTTATTTTTTACGTAATTAAAAATATAATGTTTGCATACACTAGAGTGACCGAATCATGAACTGGAAAAAAGGGGGGGTGGTGGGGGGGGGGGGGGATACCCTCAAGCTAAAGAGGGTTCCGGGGGCCTCCGCCGGAAACTGTTTATTGAAATTTGCTCATTTGAACTATATTTCAGACCTAGAAATCTTTTAAAATTTACCTTCACTTTTGTAATTTAATTTAAACTCTGAGGAATATCATCAACGAAAACAATAATGTTGCTGTGAATATGGCAGGGACAGTCTTTTACGCAGCGTCGGCAGAGTGGTGGAGGGGGAACAGTGCAGCCATCACGCGAACCCACATTTCTACTGGCACTGGCTACACAGCTAGCCAAAATATTACTTGAAGTTTTATTCTAAATTAGGAAGTTTTAGTGATTTGAAAGTGTGTTTCGTTTTAGAAACGGGACATTTAGGCGTCCCGAGAGACTTTTTAGGGACACCGGGTACGATCGTGAAAAAACGGGAACATCTACTAGAAATCAGACTGTCTGTCTTCCGGCAATCCGACATTCATCATTGCTGGACGTCTTGCAGCCATCGTATGTTCTATGACCAATACTCTGCGAAAACTGCTCACAGCTGTTTGATGACTTACTTGTCCTATATTTATCCAAAATTATGCCTAGGCAAATGTTAACAGTTTTGTGGAAGAAAAACTAATGGAATTTATATCATTATTTTTGTTTTAATTATTTCAAAAAATAAAAAATTTGGATCCGTAGGCTTATTCAATTCCTTCATTTTTTATATAGATTTTGGTTTATCATAATCACGCTCATTAATGTTGTCATAGGCAAGGGTTAATAATATTGCATAATCCTAGGGAATGGTAATATTTCAGTTATTATTTTTGTATTTATTTTTTTTGTTAATTAAGGTAACTTAGGCTTTTTCAATTCATTCATTTC